TGTCTGGGACATAAGAGGTGAACTGTGCCAGAGGCTTTGGTGTGCTGAGGAGGTTATACTCTCTCACTTCAGGGCATGTCTGGCCTGTGGACTCACTTCAGAGGAGCTCTGAATGCCACAGGTCATGTGAGAGCTGGCCTCTTTCCTGCCTGTGGCCCTCATAACTAATGGGCCTTGACAGCTTGGAGGTCAGGAGAAGGATGGCTGCTGGCATGGGTATAGGCACACTGGGAGGGAGTTGGCAGTCAGCAGGTCTGAAGGATGGTCAAGATTCTTCAAGTCTGTCCCAAGTAGGTGCCTGGTCTCACAGTACGCCTCTCTGCAGGGGCAGAAGCGTCTGGTGCTCTCTGAAAGCTGTTCCCGGGACTCAATTAGCAGCCAGCCCAGCTGCACAGTGCTGAATTACTCATACGGTGTGAATGCCTGGAAGTCCTGGGTGCAAGCCAAGTATGCAGGGGGAGAGACCAGCAAGGGAGAGGAGCTACGCTTTGGCCGTAAGTGCCTTGTCTGGATGGGGTGGAGTGGCAGAAACCTCCCAGAAGATGCATCTCAGGATGCTGAGGTGATCCTGTGCTTGCAGGCTAATGTCTGAGGTTGCTCCGTTTGTCTTTGCAGCCAAGCCCATGAGGATCAAGGAAGATATCTTGGCCTGCACAGCAGCTGAGCTCAATTATGGCCTAGCCCAGTTTGTCAAGGAGATTACACGGCCCAATGGGGAGCGCTATGAACCAGACAGCATCTATTACCTCTGCCTTGGCATCCAGCAGGTGAGGGCTTGCCACTCTCGGGTCCTCCACAGCCTGACCTGAGGGTCAGATCTTTACCCTTTATTCTGCTTTCTGGGGACCAAGAGAGGCTCACTGGACTCTCCTTCAGTGCCTCACTCCAGGATAGCAGCTCACCTGGTTTGGTCTTTGTTCCAAAGCCCAGCAGGTCAGGTGGCAGCTGTTCCCCAGCCTTGCACCCTTCTTTCACATCCTTGAGGAGGGCTGGGAGATCTCCCGAAACTCAGTCCATTCTTCAGCACCAAGTCTGCTTTGTCATGCCCCAGGATTTTCCTCAGAGCCCTCAGAAGTGGCTGTTTTTAGGAATCTGCCCTACAGCTCTGGTTGTATAAGGAGGGGCACCCTGCATGCATGCGCTGGGCTCTCTGGGGAGGATTACATTCCAGATGCTTCCATATCTCTCTTGACTGTGTATTCTGTCCTTTCTAGTACCTGCTCGAGAACAATCGTATGGTGAATATATTTACAGACCTTTACTACCTGACCTTCGTACAGGAGCTGAACAAGTCCCTGAGCGGCTGGCAACCCACAATCTTACCGAATAGTATGTGTCTCCAGAGTACCTTCAGTCATCACACATACACAGTTTGTGCTTCTAGCCTTGGATCCTTCAGTCTCATTGTGCTCCCTCAGCCTTAACCTTCTTCCTTGGCAACACAGTCCTGCTGTGTCTTGGGGTTGTACTAACCCATACTGACAGAGTGGAGCCAGCCTGTTATACACTTCAGCAGCAGCTTCCATTGCCCAGAGTCAGGGTAGCTGGGAGCAGAGCACAACTGTTTTGTGTCCTGGGACAGTTTGAATCTTGACAACATGGTGATGTCGCCAGCCTTTGATAAAGACCATACCAAGCCAGGAGGTACACTGGCCCATGCCTTTGTGTTCCCAATACATAGGCGAGCACCTGAACACTGTGCTAGGTTTTGGCTAGGGCTGCTGTGTTCCTGCCTTATGAGCAGACTAACTTGGAGTTCTGCAGAGGCTTTTCATGACACTGTGATCTGGGCTGCCTTCCCTGCTGCATCTTGTCAGTGGTTAGTTTACAGATCCAGCCTCACCTCTGTGTATTAGCTCTCCCCGACAGAGTCATTTGGCTCAAGACCTGTGGTCTAGGCAAGAGCTGGCCATGTCTGTCCTGCCCGCTGCTTTTCCTTCATCTCACGCTGAATGCGGTGGAGCATTGACCTGGAGTTCACTTCGTTACCATTTACAGGGATGGGCAGTTAGGATTGATTTAGGTTCTGGCCTGTGGTTTGGCTGCACTTTGGGGTGGCTTGTGACTGAGCAGAGCCAGCATCTAGCTCTGCTGATGGCTCTAGAGAAGTAACCTTGTGGGAAAGGGGATGATGTGAAGCATCTGTCTTCTGCAGTGAGCTAGCCTGGGCAAGATGAAGGGATTGCTACAAAGCCACTCTTGATGTGACCTGGTTCTTCCTCTGTGCATTGCAGACACAGTTTTCTCACGTGTCGAGGAGGAGCACCTCTGGGAGTGCAAACAGCTAGGTGTTTACTCACCCTTTGTGCTCCTCAACACCCTCATGTTCTTCAACACCAAGTTCTTTGGGCTGCAGACAGCAGAGGAACACATGCAGCTCTCCTTTACCAACGTGGTGCGCCAGTCCCGCAAGTGCACCACAGCCCGTGGCATGACAAAAGTGGTGAGCATCCGCTACTATGCTCCTGCCAAGCAGAAGAAAGGCCGAGGTAGAGTGTGACAGACCATTTCTTTGTCCCTCCCCCTGTGTCTCCCATCAGCTCCCAGATGTGATCCTGGTCTCTCTCTCTCTGCAGATGGTGGCTCTGGAAAGCGGAAGCGTGAGGAGGAGATACCAATGTTGGAGCAACGGGAGAACAGGATGAACCCGCTCCGATGCCCAGTCAAGTTCTATGAGTTTTATCTCTCCAAATGGTGAGGCTTTCTCTGGAGAAAAGGGCATATGCCATCTTGGTGTTACCTCTCAGTTTTCCCGGGACCCTGTGGAGTGGCTGCTGCTCTCCAAATATTTGTACTTGAGTGTGAAGCCTTGTCTGGGGTCTGCACTGCTTGTATAGACCATGGTTGAGAGAATGCTTCTCTCTGGCTGCTTTCACTACTTGCCTCTCAGTAGACAGGCAGGAGTATGCAGTATGAGTCGTGGAGCTTGGCTGGTTAGCAGATTCAGTCTGAATGCTTACTTTGTGTCCTCGTTCTGCTGAGGGATGAGAGGCTGTGACAAGCCTTTAGGCCCCATAACCATGAGGGCAGGCCATGCTTTCCAAGCCCCATGAGCTGATACCGTCGGGCTCTCCTTCCTCTCCCTTTACAGCCCTGAGAGTCTGCGGAACCGCAACGATGTCTTCTACCTGCAGCCTGAACGGTCATGTATTGCTGAGTCCCCGCTCTGGTACTCAGTCATCCCA